TTTCAAACGATCTTTTTATCAATCGTCCGTTTGCAACTTCGTTTTCCAACCATCCGTTTGATTGGTAACAAACTAGCGGTTGAACCACACCTTCTTTTCAAAAGAGGTAACCAATCGGACCCAGAGAAGAAAATATAAAGAACTGGTACGATCCGTTCAAGGATTAACGATTGTAACTTTTTGCAATCCAATTTATCTTTTCTTTTTTTGAAAAAGCTTTCTATTTAAAACTGGAGCATGTGGAAGTGTTGCAACATGAAAAATTATTACATAAGAACAACAATAGCGGTAAATCAATAAGAAATGATACAAAAAGGTATATACGTCTACTTGAAGACTGATAACCTTCACGAAACCAAGGAGGAACCGTGAGCTACCAAAACAAAGAACGATGACATGAAGAGCATAACGAATTTGATGGGCAGAACGCAGATACAAATAATCCCGAGTCCAACATTAAGTCTGAAGAAGAGCAACACCAAAAAGTGGCACAAACCAAGCTGACATACCACCACATCAAGGAATCGGGAAGAAACTCACTTAGTGACATAGTGGGCCTCAACAACTAGCTAGAAGAAGGCTTAATTACCGCCTGGAGACGACATCAGACTACATCTACATCGAGAAGAAGAGAATAGAACAATGCAAATAGAAGTTTAATCCATTCAAACCTTAATATCACATACACATCACTGGCCGAATTAGCCTAGACTACACCAATATCTCGATCAAAATAAAGTCACCGGTCTGAAGAAGGAAGAGCAAACCATCAGGGCACTAAGTCACAGCAGGACATGATAGGGGGAGAGAAACATGATAACATGATCAAACCTAAGAACCCGTGGCCCTGAGCATCCACAAACCACAAATGGTCTTTCAAGACGCAGAGAAAAGAAGACAACCATCTAAGAGAGAACCAACAGAGATCGATGGCCAAAGTAAAGACAGAGCAAGGTTCAAACTGCATAACCAGATCAACGACAATACACATACACAGGAAAACGACAACCAAGCTTTGATTTGGACAGAGGAGAGAAGAAGAGGACACAAACTAGATAGGGAGAGGAACAAACCCAAGCTTTGATAGACCGTCCCCAGGTAGTACCATGAGTAAAAGGAGCTGCCGCATAAGGCAATCAAGGCCGAGAGTGAAGAGGAGACAAGACACGAACCTACCGGAAAATTTTATCCTCAAAAGCTTTACCGGAGGGATCATCGCAGCCCTAACCACCAAGACCTAACCTGACAACTGTTAGAGGGCTTCGAGAAGGAAGAGGAGACAAGGAGGAGCTTGGACTATGACGAGTAGAGGAACCCATATCGTACATCTCTAGCCTGGATCGGACTACCGCCTCAAGTAGTTGAGATCGGAGAGAAGAGAAAGCCTAGAACTCGTCGACAACCAAAGCTCTGAACCCAAACCGGTAATATTTTCACTAACCTTCGAGACCAGATCTACACCAAATCTACAGGGAAAACCAAATCGAAGAGGAGCTGGAGACAAACGAACATGTATCGATCCCTCTCACGGTGGCGGTGAGAATAACCGACCACTAGAGAGGGAGATCAGAAAAATTGGCGGTCGTTCTCTAGGGTTTGGGAGAGAATGAGTTTTCACCGCTTAAAGGCTTCGACTGTCTTTTCTATTTTTATATTACTTAACAAAAACGGTGCATTTGTTTTTACGATAAAAGATTTTCACTACAAAGTTATTTCAACATTTTCAATGTTAAAGATAGGAAATTAAGAATATCCAACATATGATGAAGCTAGGATTAGTCAAGAGACTGACTTTAAAATATAGGAGTATAAAACAACTCGAGTTTTAAGGATTGGTTCTTAACTGCCACGTGTCATCGTGTGATTCGTTAATTTTTTTTTTTGATAAGAAAAAAATTTTGAGAAAATAAATTCTACTTAAAATAAAATACTTTTATGTCATGTATGTTTGAAATTTTATTAAATGCAATATATTTTTCGTTTTATTTAATATACTATGTTTATAAAATTTGAGAAAATAAATTTTATTTAAAATAAAATAATTTTTTATTTTTATTAAGAATTTTTAATGATGTTCTACAATTGGAGGAGAAAAAAAATTAAAATTTATTAAAAAAATTATTAAATTACAATGATGTAAAATATATAATAAATAAATAGGTTAGAACTCCATGAATGATTCTACCGTTTAACATGCTCTAAGTTGATTAACCTTGACAAAAATCAAAGAAGGGGACCGACGAAAAATTATTTAACGACAAAAATAATATAAACAAATTGACAAGCTAACGAAGCTAAAGGACCAAGTTGAGGAAATATGGGTTCCACCTGCGGACCAATAACAACTCGTCCGTACCAATAATATCTATTTATACCTATGTTTTGGTTGTTTCAAATTTTTATTTTTAGCATCATAAGTCTTATAGTAATAGTGAACCTTTTAGTACTGTTATCTTTTTTGTTTCTTTATAAATCACTCATGTTTAAGGTTTTCTATTTTAAAAAAAAAAAAGTTCTTCCACCCCTCTAATATCTAAACATATACAGCCACATAAATTGCAACTACTATTTTTCAAATATATAGAAAATTCTATGTCGACAAAAAAGAAAAAAAATAGAAGATTCTATTTTTTACCTTACAACAATTATAACAACAAAATCATGCTTGGTGAAAAGGGTATTTCACTCTCTCTTTTTTTTTTTAAGGTTTCACTCTTATAGAGTAGAAAAGGTGAAAAATATATATCTTTTACAATTAACATAAGTTTTTAATAAATCGTGTATCACTTTCAAAATAAATTTGGATCTCATATACTTAGAATCATAACAAGAAACATGGATGAGTCCAATCTCTCTTACGGAGACAAATCTTATAAGAAGATAATTGAAGAAACAGGTGCCACGTGACAGCATATTCCGATTTTTCTAAAGAACATTAAAACTCTTATCGTATATCTTTCAAATTTTTTTTTTTTTGTCGCAATCCAATTTAGAACAATTTTTAAATTTCCATACACAGAATAGTCGGATCGAATTTGGAAAATAGTTAGATAGTTACACTAACAACTATTCCAAATGACAAAAAAAATTCCGCTCTTAGACCATTAAGTTAAATTGCGAGCAATATATATGTCGATAATTAAATTAAAGAAAAAAAGAAAAGCTAAAAAAACAGAAGAAAACAAAAGTAATCTTGCTGTCAAGAAATGCCCATATTATTATTCATCCACACAAAACACGTACGACCATGCCTCTTAGTGATTTGTCATTGGCCCACTTCCCATCCTAGTGGTTCAAATTGATGATAAATAAGACTATAATAATCACAACAAAATATCAAATAGAAACAGGCAAATCAATAGGTAGATAAATAAAGGGGAAGGATATATAAATGTCAACAATTTTTCTATTGGACAAGGGAGAGCTAATGACATTCGGATCTCACGATATTTTGCAGTACTCAAATTGGTTATTTGCTTAGAAAATAGAACCTAACTAATGTAGAATAGTATACTTTGGCAAAGCAACAAAAATATCAGATAAGATTGTAGGCTATCCACATCATTTGTGATTTCCAAACCATATTATATTAATGCATACTTATTAATGGTATATTAAATCATACAAGTTTTATTTTCCGTAAGAGAAACAACAAATTTAATTGAATTTATTTTTACCAGTATACATATTTGTGATGTTGTCGGTCGTCCTGTTGTTAAGTCTTGGTTATTGTTTATTATAATTATAGCAATTAAAAGATCGTTCCATAGAATCTCTAGAATCATTCATGAGAAAAAAATATACTATATTATAAAACGGGATGATTACAATTAAAATAAAAGAGAGAAGAAGGTCGATAGTTTTATGATTTTGGAATTTATCTAACGCATATACGGACGATAATCCTGATAGCAAATATACACATTTTTTTTTTATTTGGACAACAGCCTTTTTTTTGTTTGTCAAGATACACATTTTATTTCTAT